CCGGGGTGGCACCACCCACAGTGGGCTGGGCCCTCCCACATCACTCAACAATCAAGAAGGTGCCCCATGGACATGGCCACAGGCCAGTCCAATGAAGGCAATTCCCCAACTGAGGCTCCCTCAACCCAGGTGTGTCAAGTTGACACTAAAGCTAGCCAGCGGTAAAGGCCCTTGCCACTCCAATCTGATGACCTGAGTTCAATCCCCAGAACCCACATAAATATGGAAGGCGAGAACCAATTCTACAAAGCTGACCTCTAACCTCCACAGTCTTCCCCCTCACACATACACGTTACACACACACACACACACACACACACACACACACACACACACACACACTAGAAATGACTATCATACAGCTTGTCTCTTCATGAGCTGCATGCTGGCTTTCCCCTGGCCTGTGGTTCCCTCCATCTTCCTGGCCAGCCTGCCCCATCCTTCCTCCTCTTCTCTGACTCTGGAGTCAGGCCAGGACCCCATACCTCACTCTGCAAAGCCCGTTCCCACACTCGGGTCCTGCCTACAGCTCTGCAGGCTGTGCCGGTCATTTCTGCAGGGCAGGGCTGTCCCAGCAGAGGGGTCCCTGAGGCCATGGAAAGAGCCAGAGGAGCTGTTCTGCCCCTGCCTGGCTCTACAGAGCCTCAGAGACCCTCCCCAGCATTAGCAGAACTAAAGGCCCCACTGCTCGCTGCTCAGAAGCCAGTGCTCATGTCCACAGGTGGGGAGGTCCTGGGTTTACTCACAGGTTGACAGTCTTCTGTACATGGGGGGCTGTTCCCCTCTGGGGGCTTGGCATACAAGGCTTTAACAAGAGGAAGAAGGAGGAACAGGACAGGAAGGTTCTGCGCTGGACAGTCTTGTCCTCTGAATATGTATCTACTGTTTCTTTCTCTGGAACGTGGTACTGGGTTTGACCTCCTGTGGCCAGAGGCTATGGTTCTTTTTAAATGTTTTATTATTTATTTATTTATTTATTTATTTATTTATTTATTTATTTATGCCTGTGTATACCATGGTACACATATAGAGGTCAGAGGACTATATGGGAGTTGGTTCTCTCCTTCCACCCTATGAGACCCAAGGGATTGAACTCAGGACATCAGGTTTGGCAGCAAGGCCCTTTACCTGCTGAGCCAATTTGCTGGCCCTTTGGTTCTTTTTTGAAGTTTCCATGTTTTGGATTAGCAACTGCTTGGATTCTAAAACCCCTGGAGTCTGTGGGAGTGTAAAGGAGGGGCTGGCAGTTAGCACCTTCACCATCCTGATGTAAGTCCTGTGAGCAGAGGGTTAGGGAGGGGTAGAGGGTAGGGGCAGCTAGGGCTGGCTGGACACTTGCTCACCTGTGACTCCCCTGTGCTCTGTGGCAGGTGACAGACGGCGGTGCCATCAAGCAGAAGATCTTCACGTTCGACGCCATGTTCTCCACCAACTACTCACACATGGAGAATTACCGAAAGAGGGAAGACCTTGTGTACCAGTCCACCGTGAGGTGAGGTCACCTGAGACCCTAGTGGCAGGCAGGGCGAGCAGGGGAAGGGAGGGGCAGGGCCTGGAGGGGCTATATCCCCTCCCTGGGCTTGGAGCACATTGCTGACAGCTCTCCTTGCAGAACCAGGGCCAAGCCCTGGAGGAAAGAGAAGAGGGTCAGGCCATAGCTCCTCCCACAGCCCTGCATGGTGGGTTTCACAAATGGAGATTTTGCAAATCCCACTTGCAGGTGGGACACTGAGGTCCAGAGAGTGTAAGCAATGTGCGTAAAGTCACACAGCACACAAGGACAGAGCTGGTTGGAGAACCAGCTCTACCCAGCTTGGAAAGCCATGTAACACATTCCATTGTCCTCCCTTCTGGGGTTTCTCAAGCCATAAAAGCTCCAGGAGTGGGGGACACCCAGATTCCCAGGTCAGAAGCAGCAGGATAAGGAATCAAGTAATTCAGCATCGTAATGGGGCCTGCCACATTCTACATATGTGGGTACCCGCAGTGCTACACACTCCCCAAAGGCTGCCATCTTCTCCCCGACCCTTTATGCACACTGGCCTCTCCTCCCACTTGGTAAACTCATTTTTGTGTTTGTTTGGAGTTTTTGTTTTGTTTCGATTCTGTGTTTTGAGGCAGGCTCTCCCTGTAGCCCCATGTCCTGGAACTCCCTACATAGACCAGGCTTGCCTCAATCTCACAGAGCTCTGCCTGCCTCTGCCTCCCAAGTTCTGGGATTAAAGGTGTGTGCCATCCCACTCAACTTCCTGGTTAAACTCTTCATCAAGTCTTCAAAACCCAACTCAGACAGGGTCACCTGAGCAGCCCACATCCAGCAGGACAGGTCTCCCTGGTTCCCCGAGTCCCCACCCTCCTCCAGGGGGGATATTATGGCCTCAACAAAGTAGCTTCATGGTGATGTTGAGTGTGAAGAGAGAGAGAGAGAGAGAGAGAGAGAGAGAGAGAGAGAGAGAGAACTTGCTCTTTCATACTACGTGGCAAACGTTTTGCCAGATCCCTCAGAAAGCATCAGGAGCTCAGAACCCAGGGAGGACTTGGCCATGTAGGCATCATGGTTGCCTCTCAGTTGACACAGCCCACGTGTGTATTGGGTGAGGCAGCTGGGGCATCCCGGTGAGTGCCTGCGTCCCAGTGAGTCCCTGATGTCGAGGTATGCTTAGACTCTAACTGGAACTTTGAGCTCCATGGGAGGGGAGGGCAGGCATCTGCTGGTCTCCTGTTTTCTCGCTCTCAGCTGAGAACTGGCACTTAGTAGACATCTGATGGAATTCGCAAAGGGAATGGATGACTTTGAGGATCTCATCAGTGGATATGAGCCTCAGGAAAATTAGAGGCTGGGACAGACGCTTTTGCAAAGGGTGCACAGGGCCTCCTGATCTACCCAGCAAGGACATAGTGGCGATGAGCCCTTGAGGACCTCGCTCCTGCCTCCTCTCAGGCACCACACAAGACCTCAGGCCCAGCCATCTGCTGACTTGCTGATCGCCTGTTGAGGATGAGAGTATCCAGGGCTCCGAGGAGGCACACAGGTGGTATAATTTCTCCTTCCCCACTTCCAGAAAGGAATTGGGGTGAGTTAGACTATTAAAGTAGGCTGAACACAAATCATTACCATCAAGATGAGAAAGGAGATAAAAACTCAGTGGAGAAAATTACCACTGTTCCAGGAACCACAGAGTCCGGTAGCACGTGACTTCTTGGCTTCTGTCCAATCCCCCTGAGGTAACACAGGATCCCCGGATTATTCCCTCATGTCCATCTGGTCCTGGTCACGGGTGTGGCCTTGTGATGACTCCCCAGCTCTGATTCCTAAGGCAAGAAGAAAACCCAGACCGCCACCCCCCAACATCCCGCAGCTGCACTCTCACCTGTTTCTGCTCACTGGCCTGCAGAAAGCCAGTAGGTGCACAAAGACCCGAGTTCAAGTCCCAGTTCTGCCACTGCCCACCTAGTAACCTTGACTCAGAGTCTCAGCTTCCCCCTTCTTTCAGTGCCCCCCGCCCTGGAAAGCAGGCTGACTAGGCTGAGCTTTCTGTGACTACAATTTAGGAGAAATTGCCGTCCAGTAGTCCAGTTCAGAATGCTGACTGTTCTACCTATCTTAGTGACATCTGAAGCTGATGACTCTGGGACCGAGTTTCCTGGTGTCCAAACAGGGATGAAAGCAGCAAGCAGTTCTCTGCAGCCTCATAAGAGCCCAGGGATGAATTTGGGTACCTGCAGTATGCAGTGCTGAGCTGAGAATGCTTGCTCCTGAGCCCCAAACAACCCTTCAGTCACCACCACAAGGCAAAACACACTTTTCCCTAAAGTCCCTGTGTACAAGCTTTCTCTCTAGATCCTTACCATCCTTACCAACAAACCCCTTGAACCTGGTAAAGCAGCATTATCGTTTTATACCCCCTTCTCCGCATTTCTTTTATTTATTTATTATTTTTATTTTATGTGTATGAGTGTTTTGCCTGCATGTATGCAACTGCACCCATGTGTGCAATGCCCACAGGGGCCAGAATGGACATCGAATCCCCTGGAACTAGACTTGGATGGTTGGTTGTTTGTGGGTACTGAGAGCTGAACAGCACTGAGACATCTGTCCAGCCCCATCCCATCCTATTATGCATTTTTTTTTTAACAGAAGGTGTCTAAGTTAGCAAAGTCAAGGGATGACCTGTGTAAGGAACTCCCACTGGGATGACATGAACTTGATCAGACCTCAAATCACCCCTTTCTACACTACACCAAAGGGCCTTTGCTTTACAGCTGAGGAAAACAAGACCTGGAGAAGGAACAGGACTTGCCCAAGGTCACACAGTAGCACTGACTTCAGTCTAGTCTCAAGACTTGCGGCCAGGTCTGTTTTCTTCCAGCCTTCTCTCAGAGCCCTTCTACACCACACTGAGGTCTCCCAAGCAGAGGGCACCCCAGGGAACAGAGCCAACCTACTTAGGGAACACCAGGGGACAGGAAAGGACTGGGCCGTGCAGTCTAATGAGATTGGGAGTATTACTGGCAGCCGAGCCAGTGCAGGAAGAGCTGTGCCAGGCTGCAGGGCCCCATTAGGGTTGGCAGTGGGGCTTTGGGCTCTGCATTTACATATAAATGAAGATATTTACAAATTAATGCATCTCAGCCCAGAGTCCCAGCTCCGCAGCTGTCTGAGCTGCTTCCTCTTCAGCTGGGGAAAGGGTGAGAATGAGGCTGAGATCACAGGACTTCGAAGAACAGTTTCCTGGGGAGCTGCGAGGTGCACAGGGACTCCCCAAGCTTCACACAGCTGGTGGGTGGAAGTTGGTGGGTGGCAGGGTGCCTACCTCCTGATAGGTTCAGGTGTGCTGCCCTGAGCATGTCACTGTGACCCGGAGGCCCATCCATCCAATGTGTGATGGATAGGGTGCCCATAGGCTGTAACTATTGTACCTCCTGTAACGTGGGGCAGGGTACGAGGCAGTGACTAGAATACAGTTTATAGCATGGATGCAGGTAGCTCCATTTGGGAGAAGTGGTGTTTTTGGTTTTGTTTTGTTTTGTTTCTTTTGGGCATGTGTGCTTATGTGCATATACATGTGTTCATGCATGTAGAGACCAGACCAGATGCTGACATCAGGTGCCCTCCTCAACTTTTCTTTACCTTCTGTATTTCAGAAGGTTTCTCACTTCAGTCCCAAGCCCTTAAACTTGACTAGTCTAGTTTAACCAGGTAATTTAGCTAACCAATCTACTCTGAAAAGCCCTGCCCCTAGATATTGGGATTCCAACTAGGATACCACACCTAGCCAGTGTTCACTTGGGAGGTGGGATCTAAACTCCAAGCCTCCCATTTACATGGTGGGGTACCTACTCACTGAGCCATCTCTCCAGTCCTCAAGAGTATGGTTAGGGGGAGTTTCTTGTATGCAGTTTCCAGCATGTAATTCACACTATGGAAGGAAGACAGGCCAGATTCAATCAGTGTACAGTTCTGCGAAGTAGCATGAGCCTCTGCGCACATCATTTCCAGAGACGCAATTTCTGCTGTGAAAATTAGGACCATGCAAATAGGGTCCATGCAAATAGTTTATGCAAATAAGGGCAATCATGGTCAAAGGGTGGGTCATAGGGTACAGGGTTACATTTCCTAAATAACATCTAAGCAGAGACCTAGAGTATAAACAATCATCCACCAGGGTAAGGGGCAGAGGGCATTCCAGGTAGAGCAATTACAAAGGTCCTGAGTTGAGAAGGGGTTTGAATGATCCAAGGATACCAGGGGTCAAGGGTGGCCAGGCACAGAGAGCAAGAAAGCAAGCTGCCATTTGCTCAGCACCTCAGAATTCCCCAAAGGCAATGGCTCACTGTGACTGAGAAGCTCACCCAGGAGCCTGAAGCCTCATTTCCACATCCCACAGACAAGTGAACATGTACATCTCAACCACATGGCTCAGAACAACTGGCTGGGTTAAGCAAGGCCTGGGGCTTTGTGAAGAGCCAAATGTGTGGTTCTCCCTTCCCAAGTCCTGATAGTAAAGGGAGAGGTGGGGGAAGCGGCAGGTGGAGTCAGGACGCTAGAGGAAGTGCCCTCCCCTGATGGCTCTGATGACTTTGGGTCTCATGTACACCCACCAAGGATGCAGAATATACAAGAGAAGTTATCAACCATGGAGTCTAGACTAATCCTGGCCTCAGTGGAGCTTAAAGCCTACCCCCTCCACTCCACATCCACCAGCCCATAATGGCCCCCAGAGTCCGTGTATCCCTCCCCACCTCAGCACCCCAGAACCTGATTGGCACTCAGAGGCGAACAATGTGTGGTGGGGATTGGAAAGAGAGAAAGCAGAGAGAAGCTGTTAACTGGTCAGGATAAACAGATAACCATTCAAGCAATGAAGCTGGAATCATCCTAGGGACAGCTCAGGCACAGGCACGGTGACTCAGCTACAGGGGTTGGGGAGATGGGGGCAGTGGCATTGGAAGTGGCTCTAGACAAAGAAGGCCTGGGGGCGGGGTCTCTAA